TACTATAATTTATTCAGATTTATTATTAACTCATTTTTTATTTTTTTTTTGAGTTTCCTCCCTTTCTATTGCAAAGGTCTCATATAAACAAATGCCTAAATCTAGAAAGTAGCTTAAAATAGATGCAGTCTTTCACTATTATTCTTTTTGCCAGAGATTGTACTTAATAAGTGATCTAATATAAGTAATATTTTTATTTATAATTATATAATTTTAATATCTAATTGAGAATATTATCTTTATTTTCTTAAGTAATTACCATATAAGAAAGTTTCTAGCAAGTGAATTATTAGAATAATTGAGAAAATTAATCCTAAAAAAACAATTATATTAGTTACTAATAATGTTACAAATTATATTAAAATATAAGAAATAGTTACAAATCAATTTTTAAATATTATTAATCTTTGATGTATTACTTATTTTATTAATTTAATATTGAATATATAATAGAAAGTATACTTTAAATTACAAATAATTATAAATTTTTAAAAAAATTATATTCTTATTTATTAATTTTTTAGAATATGATATATTTATATAAATAATCAAAGGTTATAATAAATTACATTATTTTTTAAAAGATTTTATATAATAAGAAATTTATTAGTTAACACTATTATTATATTATAAATTAAAGGTAAAGGATTTAAGATATATACTAAAATTAGATAAATTTTTATATATAAAGCTGCAAATTCAATTTTACAATTACAAATTACATTAGAATATGTAAATTTATATTTCAATTTCAATTATTATTTCTTAAATTTAAAAAATTATTAAATTAATAATATATTATAGGTATTGATAAATAATTCCAATAAGATTACAAATAAGGTAATTAAATAATATATCATATTAATAAGAAATCAGTATTAATTAATTGATAATTAATTTATATTTAGTAATTAAATAAAATAATAAAAATTTACTTACTGCGATAATTAGAATATAAAAGTATATTAATATATACATATTAAATTAACTTATCCCTTATTTATTAAATAAATTAATACAATATTGATAAAATCCAGCTATTCTATAAGATAGTAATTTTTAATAGCATTTGCAAGTAAATTTAATTAAATAAATATTTAATAAGATTTATACTTATATTTTTAAGTAAAGTAATTGCAACTTTAATTAGCTTTAAGATTTGTTAAGAAGGAAATATTAGAAAATTATAACTATTAATAACAAGTCAAATTTAGCAGAATAATTGTTCAGAATAAATGTAAGATATTATACTTTTAGAATATAATATGAAATTAATATGTTATGTAAGAATTTTTATTTGTTATAACATTTTATTATATCAGATAAAATTAATTAAAATATAAATAAAAAAAGTTCTTTTTAAATTTTTTTTAGAAAATAAATTATATGTTTTAATTTTCTTTTATACTATTAAATTTTTATTATATCTTAGCTGTAGTTTTATATATTTAATTTTATATAATTCTTAATATTATATTTAGTTAAAGTGTTAAATTTATTAAAATTTTATTAATAATAAAAACCTAATATAAATTCACAAAAATAAACAAAATATTATTAAAACTTACTGATTAATTTCCTATTTAAAAAATATAAGCAAAAAAAAAAAAAAACTATATAAAATAATAAAAATATAATCTATTTTCCTTCTAAAATCCCTTTAAATCATCCTAAATATTTATTATTATAATATTATCATTTTCAAAAAAAGAATAAAATAATAAAAAATATGATTTATTTTTTTTTTAAAAATTCTCAAAATTATCTAAAAATAAAAAAATAATAAATAAAATAATAAAAAATAAAAAATCTATCCTGTTTTATCAAATTACTTGAAATTATATTTTTTTATTATAGAAGTAAAAAGATCAGTTCATTATGTAAAAAATTGATTAATTAATTAATAAAATTTAACTAATTTAATTTAAATTTTATTTGATATTGATAGTAGAAAAAAATTAGTTTATTTTTTAAAAAGTTGATTTGTTGTTTAACAAATTTAATACTTTAAATTAGAAAAGCATCAATATATTAAAATGTAATTAATATAATTTTATTATTTGTATTAGTATTATATTATATAAATTATTTGTATAAAAAAATTTAAATCTATGATTTTAAATTCAATCTAAATTCTAAATATTAAATAATTAACTACAATATTATATTATTTAACTATCAGTAATTTTTATCTGCATTGATAAATAGTAAACTTGAAAATATTAATATAAAATTCACTAGATAGCCACTTCCTCATAATTATAATAATGTAAATCAATATATAGAAGCTAAGCTATTAAAATTATCTTATGAGACCTTACTAATCAAATTAAGATTTTTGATTCATATTATTATATAATATATGAACTTTATTTGGTTAAATTTTTATAGTCAATTAATTTATTAATTAATAAGTTATTAGGCTATAATATCAGTCAAAAAATCTAAAATGATAACATAAATTTGAAAATAATTAACATTATTATCAGAAGCTTAAGGGTAAGATATTTTAATTAGAACTAAAACTATATATGTAATATATATCTATACGTAATCTATCAAATCATGTGATAAATATAATAGCAATTTGTGATTGGTTAAATTTAAGTATAGTTGATTAACTAATTTGAATATTTCAAGATATCTAATACCCTAGCAAATGTTTTTTTTTTTTAAAAAAAAAAATAATATATAATTTTTTTCTTTTAAAAATTGAATTTTCTAATAAATTATTGTAATAATATCCTGTAAGATGATTTTAATAGCAAAATCTTAAGTAATAACAACATTTAAATTGTAAGTATTAAGCTCACTAAGAAGATTATATTCACAATGCAGTCGTACCTTCAACATCAGGTATAACATCATTATTTTAAATAATAAATTTTAGTATCGTCTTATTGATTAATTCGATTCAATATTTAAAAATAGATGTTTACTGTGGCGTAGCATTTTTGTAATCATCATTTACTCAAAATCTATTTCTTATTCCGTAAGGTGATTTTAATAGCTTAGTTCCCATATGTAGAGAATGATTCGAAAAAAATTTTCGTCACTACTGGCAAGGATCTTGTAATTCCCCAAAATCATTCAATTTACTGTATTATATTATCACAGCACACCTTCTATAATTAAATCTTTTTAATTCATTAAACCTTTTATTTTACATACAAAAGCGCTACAAGTGTGTATATTTTTACTTAATTCAATTACTTAAGAATGAACTTATTTACGTCATTGAAATAAAAAATGTTATTCTGTTCTTATTTTAAATATTAAGCACAATGATTGTAGTTTCGTAAGTATACCATTAAAATAATCAAGATGTAATATTATCTAGATGAATATTATAGAACCTCATTTTTCTTACTATATATAGAGAGATAAAAATTAATTTCGGAAAGAAAATATATACATGTGTATATAATATCATATTTCTTTATAAACAAAAGATCCTATATACGACACGACTTACATAAAGCACACATCACTCTTTTGTTTAATGAGTGAAAAATTGTTACCTAAACATCTATTTAATAATAATAATGAAATAAACTAATATTCATCGAAAAAGGCCTTCGACTTATGTTCTGGTACCACTGCCAACCAAGTATATTGTTCGCGTTTTTCATCATTTTCATTCTCAAATCTTTCAGCAATAAATTCTTCAGGATCCTCCCAGTATTTTGGTGAATGATGGATTTCATAGATATTTATTAAGATAGGTTTTTTCGGTAAAAATACATGATTTCGAAATTTAATAGTCTCCGAATTTTCTCTTTTTGGTAATTGATGAACCTTCATAAAAGAATATAATTTTTTTAATAAATAAAATTTGGTTTATGTCACAAAATTTAAACTTTAATTGGAGGATATAATCTTAAGTTTTCCTTAATAACCATGTTCAAATATTTTAATTCTCTTTGCTGATCTATGGTTGGGGTTAAAGTATCGCCAAGGACCCGTAATATTTCCTCACGAACTTTTATTTGCACATCCTTATTCAATAAAGGCAAGATCCAAGTTAATAAAAAAAAAAAGTTATTTAAAGAACAAATTTCTTAAATACCTTGCGGTGGCTAAGACATATAAGATAGTTGTTAAAGCAGTAGCAGCTAATTCATTATTTTTTTTAAAAAAAAAAAAATAAGGGTTATAATAAATAAAGATGGAAATTTATTACTTACTAGTATCATGTCCAGCTAACATAAAGAATAATAAGTGTCAATAAGCTCGTCACTAAAACATCTTTTTTTTTAGCTTTTTCATGTGTTGTCGTTTGTAATGAGAAAAAAAAGAAGCTAAAAATCTTTAGGAACGCATATTATAAAGGGCAAGTTCATATGCACTTCCAACTGTTATATAGTCAAATACCGTAAAAAAATGACGTGTTAGTAGAACAGACATTCTTTGAGTATTGAAAATATACGTCGTGAATGTTAAAAACATATTATCCTAAGAAGAAGTATTCGTTCAAATTTAATAAGCTACTCACGAAAACTATTCTATATATAAAATATAATTTTAAAAGAAAAAAAAAAGTTTTTTTTTTTTTGGTATTAGTTTTACTCGAACCCAGTATTCGAGAGCTAAATTGTCAAGTGTTTTATACCGCTATACTATAGCAACATCGACATAATTTTTAATTTTAAATTAATATAACGATAAATCTCAACTGATTTTCAAATATATCACATGATATTGCTCTCCTGATTGATCAAAGATAATAATTTCCAAGTAATTTTTTGACGATCATATCAGTTTATGGTTAGATCTATCTAAGAAATTACCATATGGCCGAAAAAAATTCAAAGTTCCCAGCTCGACTTGAAAAAGAGCGGCAGGGTGTCAAAAGCAATTCATATTAAATTTTAGCCCTACGATTTCACATTTATAAATATTATTTTGGTGGTTTGTTATTAAATCGAGCCACAAAATATAGTAAATCATATGATTTGAACTTGATTTTTATAGCAAACCGCCTATTTAGTAATATCAAGATGGTAGGAATTTACATCAAATCACTTCTGGAATATTTATAATATTGCGAAGCAGAAGACCTGGTAGAAGTTACGATATTTAATTGATGAAAATTTATTAGGATCAAATTTAGCAAGAGCTTCTCTATGGTATAAAAGAACGTCTTTGTTTGGTCATTTGCAACACATTGTAATACTTCTCTTTCTAAGTGAAATTAAAGTACCTTTTTTATATATACTATTTAAATAGATCCAGAAACGGAACAAGATTAAATAGCATAATGGCGCGAGGTCGATTGTCTCTAGTTGATAATCTTAACAAAGTCGAAAGCAACCGAATTTCGCAAGAAATTAAGACACGAGTTGATTGTTGCAACTCCCATCATTTTTTGATCGCAAAAAAAGGACAGGTTTTTATACTTTATTTTTCTTAACATCTCACGAAAAACCGAATTCTTTTTATTTTAAAATTATTGATTATTAAAACTATCATTTATTTTATTCTAAAAAATCTTACATTCATTCTTTTCGTTAAAATGTCTTTTTTATCTCTTTTTTTATCCATCTTTCAAATACAATATTTTTAATTTTTTTTTGATGTCTATATTATTGAATCCTATCATGAAGTTCTTTAGAAACACTAAGACCATGCACATTATTAATTGATAATGAAAGAGGTCATAATTATTTAATCGTATCATAATAACGTGATTTATAGCTTAATGATGATGAGATCATGTAATAGATAGAGTAAAAATCAATAGAAGTTAGCAATCTAACATTAATTCATAACACGTTTCATAATTCATTATGCCCATTTTCGACAAGGCAATTTGTCGTTAGTTCGATTTTAATATGGAAATAATAAATTCCAAAATGATCATTAATAAGGTTTGAGGTTACGTTACTCATTTACATGTGATTAAATTCAGGCGCAAAATATATCTTACAATTTAACAAGTTCGAAAACCTTCTTCCGGTGAACAAAGACTTACCATAATCATATAAATGCTTTAGAAAACTTCGCAGTGAGGCTGGTTATGAAATATAATGAAAGGTAAAAGCGAAAGTAACATATTTCATTTTTATTTAAATGATTAATTAAAAAAAATTGCCGCACACAATTCTACAAATTAGATTGCCGATTTATACAACCTTTGAATCAGATTTCAAAGATATTGGAAGTTGATGTAGTTCTCGATTAATTATCATTACAGGAATTGATGATCTTTTGTTTTTGAATATTACTATGTCGGCATTTACATACTTATGGTATTTTTTCCATTTTATTTTTTTACAGGGTCCATACTTCCAAAAAATTACGCCAAGGGCCACCTTAGTGATCGTAAAGATTTTACTTAGCATGTTGATATTTACTGCAAAATATATAGTGATTTGTTTTTTTATCTTCATCAGAATTCCATGGATAAACACTTTCCGAATTTGCCTCATCACATTCATGCATCATTGCCGTAGCAAATATATATATATTTTTTTTTTCGAATCTTCCAGCATATTGTAAAGCTGAGGTTAAATAAAATAAGGTATATTGTAGGTAATTGCAATCTTCGATTTCTATAACTTTCCAGTTCCCGGATGACTAAATCACTCGAATTGCGTATGCGCTGTCATAACACAAAAATTTACTAATTATTCAATCTTTGTGGGTATTAATAATAATTCTCGAAATTACGTTGAATATTAATTGTAAAGGTAATTTGTGTGAGATTAATCCATTTCCATAAATTTTCTCCATTACTATTTTTGCTTCATAATTTTGTCATAGCTTCGAGATCAAAAATCCTGGCTACGAATAGCAAATTTCTTAATGAGTCTAAAGAATCGGTTCATGAGGTTGAGAAAAATAGTGTTTACAGAGAGATTTGGGCCTTTCTTATTGAAGTGACATATAAATGATGAAATTAGCATTTTTCTCCCTAAAAAATTTTTGTCACCAGAATATTTAGTAAATTGAAGGTGTGAAACTTTGTGACAAATTTCGCAACCTTATTATATATTTCTAATCTAACCATAATTAATACTAAATATCCGGCGAATACCATTTTCTAGGTAAGTCATATGTTCGATATTGCCATTTTTTTTAATTTCAGCTTTATGGAGATTCTGCACGTAGATTTAGATTTTACTATTATCGACAAGACTAAAAAAAAAATGATTTATTGATGAATATACTTATTAATTGTTTATATTATTTGAACTTAACCAACGAAGAATCGGAAAGACTTGATAAGATATAATTTTTTATTTTATTTTTTATTTATTATTTAGCATATTCTTTGGGATATGATGATGCTTCGAGAAGAGAGTCGATAAATGGAGGTAGTTAGTTTCTTTGGTAAGGGTATTTTAAACATCGTATCTTTTAAAAAGGAGATTTTGAGTGAAATGGTTGGTGAGAAGAATGTATTCACAAAGAATTAATGAAATGGAAATGCTGAAGGAAAGCTTAAAAAATGGGAGTAATGCTAAGAAGTTTGGAAAGATGCTTCACAAATTAATCAATCGGACAAAGCATAACAAGCGTTTATTGATGAAAGGAACTCTCTGACGCAAATTGTCAAAGAACACATAAAAAAATTAGTGGGATTTCTTATTTTATAATATACATACTTGTTATCTACTTTACGAAATTAAAAATGATTGCACCATTTTACTACAATAGCAACCCATCAAAGAAGTGGTGAACAAACGGTACATCTTCCAAATTTTAATCCAACAAAATGGAATCTAGGATTGAATCAAAAAATTGAGGACGGTACCTTCTAAGGTTGCCGGGCAAAATCCGGAGTTTCAACAGGCATCGAAATCAAAACCCGTCGAAACGTTTTGCCAAATATTTTTATTAAAGACAAAATTGCGAAAGTTTCGACTGGTGGCAAAAGTTTCGAAGGTTGGCAAAACCCATCGAAACCTTTTGATATTAAAATACAATTTTGAATTTAAAAATTTATTATTTTTGTTTACAAATCGTATATATCAAAGGTCATTTTCTTTTATAATATCATATATATTATTTATAAAAGATAAAAAATAAAAAACCATTAATCAAAAATTTGCTTTTAAATTTTTTAAATTAAGGTGAGAACTCGTTGATGGTAAAAAGGAACGAGTTGTTTTCTTTTACAGAAATAATTTGAAATGAGCTAAACAACATCTCATGTAGAACAATGATTGAATGATATGATTAACATTGATGTTTGATCGCATTGATATGAAATTTTTTTATGTGCGACGATATGATAATAAATAAATATAATTTGTTAGTTTAAATTCGGATTTAAATCCGGATCCGATTTTTAAATCCGGATATAAAAAATAAACTCTGTTCCAACCTCTATCATCTCATAAGGTAATTCTCCTAATTCTTCAACAAGTTCCTGTGCTAACAAATTTAAAACCTCGTCTACATTGCAATACAATAAACCAGTTAAAACCCGTCGAATTTCGTAAAGTTGTTATCGAAACTGTCGAATCTTTCGAGACCCATCGA